AGAGGGACAAATGGAAGAAGGAGGTGTTGCAAATCAGGGTTCACAGCCCAGCTCCCCTGACCCCCAGGGCTTTCCTGTGATAAAGCAGATTACCATGGCCTGCCAAGCCCACGTCTCCTTGCCTGGAACCCCATTCAAGAAAACACAGACTTCAAGGACTGGTTTATGGTAACTCTTCTGATGGTTAATGAAGGTTGTAAACCAGCAGGGGTGGGCTGTGCTAGTGATTGTCATTTGGGTCACTCAGTCACTGCTGGCCTATTCTTAAGTCTCTGCTTATAGCTACCATCAAACTCATTTTTCATTATTTATGAGGTAAAAGAGCTCTAGGGTGGGTTTGTCACTTTGTCCCTCATGGCATCTAGTCCCCTATCTCCTTTCCACCCCAACCCTACTGTTTTTAAGAAGAGATACTGTTACCAGAGGGGAAGGAGAGGTATGCTGTGCTGGCCCTCAGCTTCAGTCTGGAGTAGTCAACCTTGAATTCTGTTCCTTGTGTCTTAAGAGTATTTTGGCAATTTTTTGCCAGCACCATGAAGACTTGGTCCTCCTGGTATCTTCCCTTAGAAATTATTACCAGTAATTTTTCCCACATAAACATATTTTTCAGGACACCAGCGAGAAGCTCAGTTCACAATTTGGATGCTTCTCCCCACCTTACGGATTTATGCAAAAGAACTAAAAAAAAAAGCCTGGGAGAGTAGGTCTTGCTTGACCCATGTGACCGTGTGACCCAGCGGGACAGTTTCAGCAATTATAAAATTTTGCTGTTCCCACATACCCAGCTTTACGAGTTTTCTAGGTTGGGCTCTTTGGGTATATTCCTTTTGTTTTTCCTGACTATAAATCACAGGGGTTTTTTTGTTGATACTCATAAGGGGTTAAACTGGGCACCAGAAGCTGCCTTTGTGTGATGAAGATGTAGGTGGCAGTCAGGTCTAAAGGAGAACATGTGTCGTCCTGACCGTTCTCCTAGGACGAGGACTTGCAGAGGCCTGAGGGGGACAGCAGCTTCTGTATGACTGCTACTGTGTTGTGTGACAGGCCTATCAGGAAAAGACCACGTAATGAAATAAAGTCTGTGTAAATTCAGTATGTGGATATGGGACAGAGGTTGGAAGGAAAGGACCAGTGTCTAGAAAGCTTAGGAATTTCTCCCTTT